ACCGTAAAAGACAGTCAATTGTGAATAGTTGTTGACAGACTAGCAAGTTCAAATGGTTCTCTGCAGTTATGTTCGTAGTAGAAATAACTGGCTTCAAAGTTTTGGACTTAAGCTTCAGACTAACAAAACAATGGAAACTCAAATTATTTTGCTCTTCTGAATTAAGAAGGATATGCTCATTTAAAAATGCAGTATCATTACCATGTTTCAGATGGTGAAAAGTAGCTTGAGGTCCAATGGAAGTATAGTGGACATTTTCCAGGCAATGCATTCTTCACACAAACACATGCAATTATAGAGACATTCTACTTTTAAAACTTTCTCAAATCAAGTTTTGCAATACAGCAGGATATCTGAGGAGAGAGATCAGGACCCATACTGAACAAAAACAAAAGCCTTCAGCTCAATTTGTGCATGTTTAATCTACAATTCCAATTCCCAAATCTTCACATATCACCTATGAGAGAAAAGAACACATCTAGTAAAGATCACTCTCAAGGACAGAAGACATGTTACAATTTTTACAGCCATTTTGGTTTTTAAAAAAAAAAATATATATAGCTTAAGTGGCAGAAAATTAAATCTGAATTAGTTCATCGCATACTCTTAAACTGAATGCAAGACAGAGTGATGTAAATAGAGAGAAAAGGAAACTAGGAAGGACCACTTCCTCTCTCCTTCTAACAGCAAGCTATTAAATCGGTCCAGGCCATCATGCTAAGTCTCAGCAGCCTGGTGGGTGTAAGGAGACATACAGAGAACAGACTCCTGTCAAGCTGCCAACATAATTTGATTCACACAGCAGCCAACACCAAGAACTCCATTCCCTCCAGGTTAACCTGAGGAGGTATCGCCAGCTGACTCCTCTACTAAGTTTCAGTTCCACCTCTTTGTAGAGCTGCAGAGTCAGTACATTCTTACTGATCTCAGCATTTTTGTCAAGCACAGAAACACTGCATTCAATGCAGAGCGCTGAAAGTCAAACCAATGAAAACTACACATGCAACCTCTCCACTCAAAAAAAAAAAAACCAACCCACAACCAAACCTCTACCCCCCACCTCCCAAAATATAAAAAACAAGCAAAACACCCCAAACCACCCCCTAAGCCATTGCCACAATATCATTACTTGCTTGATTCAGGGTGCTAAAGGCTCTGTTGAGCAAGAGCTCCCAGTTTCACCAAACACTTGGGATGTTGATGTGTAATAAAAACATATCTTTGTTACATAATGTGGCAACTACTGAAAAATATTCCACAAATTCAGAATGCCATTCTTAACCTACTGGTATATACTTCAAAGTACAGTCAGTATTGCTAGCAGTAGTTGCATGTCTCAACTTGTCTGGACACGAGAAGTCTGCTTTTAGGGGGCAGCTAAATTATCAGCCCAACCTGTTGCATCTTACCTGTTGCCATTGTAATGTAAACCAAACACCTTTTGCTTCTGACTGCGCCCACCAAGATCTGCAAGTGTAGATACTGCCTTTGCCTCAGACATCCATACAACAGGGGCAACCATCGCTACACACTTGCTGGGTTCCTCTCTGCACAACTACTACTGGCTAGTCTGAGAGAAAGCCTAGCAGGCCAGGCAGAAAACCAGGAGGACTAGACCTGAATCAAGAAGTGATGGGGGAAAAAATAAGTCTTTGCATACTTGCAATGGTGTTTCTCCACACCAGTTACACCCTGGCACAGGACTGCAATTCCCAAAGTGTAACAGCCCAGCTTTGGCAGGAATATACCAGTGCCCGATTTATTAAGTCGGCATGGATTAAAAGCATTCTCTCTGTAGTTAAGTTATCCTAAATCTCCTCTGGCATACCTCCAGAATCTAGCACTAATTACTGGCAACAGGTTACTGCACTACATTCATGTACTTGGGGAGGGCTGAGGAACAGGGGGAAGGAGTTACTGCTATCTAATCAAACGTCCCTAGTACATGCAAAGAATCTCCTCTGGCGTTGCTTAGAGCCAAAGAATCCAGTCTAGGGGTAATTAGTAAAAGAAAACTGAAATTCTCTAGTTAAATTGGTACTGCAGGTAATTAAACTATTAACATGTATTTAGATCTGAAATGGCTACAGTTCATTTTTGCTTGCTATGAAGTCTGAAAGCTGAAGGTGGTTTAAACAGTTATTTACTATCAAATTTATTCTCCAATTTGGCATTTGTGGACTGTTATTCATAAACCAAGATTTCTGAACAAAGAGGGCCTCTAGTCTCACTTTAAACACCAGTCCATTTTGACATGTTCACAGCTCCTTTTTAAAATCACTTGAACTCTACAAATTTTCTCCCCAACAGTACCACCAGACCTAATGAAGCCGTACCAATGAACATGATACTAACAAAACTCATTTTACAACAACATCATCCCCTATTCCTGGCTAGGTATTTTTCCCAACTGATTTATTCAACATCGCCATTGGGAAGCTGTCCACCTCATGTGGGCACCATGCTTTAGCTTTGTATAATCCTACTGCATGAACGCCTCCAAGTAAGAGACCCTCTGCCTGATTTCAGCAAAATCTGACAAAGACACAGGTCTCGGACAGGTTTCTGCATGTTTTGTGAAAAATGCACGGCTAGGAACAGAAAGAGATTGGGCCAGGGGGCAGAAGGAACCCACAACACACACGGCACGGGCTCCTACATTAGGCAGGACATAGCCTAAGCAAAGGAGGCAGATTAAAGATTCTCCAGAGGGTAGGTAAGGGAGTCACAAGGCACCTATCCTGCAAAAACATCCATAACAGAGAAAGACTCACTAGTTCTGACCTGCGTATAAACTTTTGGTAAAGTGCTAGAAACCAGAAATACCAGTTTGATCCAATATAGTAGGTCCAGATCAGCAAAGTCTAGGAACCTCTATTTACCTATAGCTGCTTACACCTGTTTATTCTAAGAGTAATTGATTTGAGTTATAACAGTAGGTGCTAAGCTTCACATTTCTAATCCTCTCTTGCTACCGCTGTAAGCTCCATAGATGGTCTCCTTCCTGTTCTGTACTTTTTAACCTATCCCTTTTTGCTAATGGGTGTCAGCTTTTTGACTGAGGTCAGACTAATGATTCGCTTCAGAAGATTTTTGTCATCGTGCTTACAAGGAGAGCAAACTGCTTGCAAGAGACACTTCAATTCGGCCTTTTATTGTCATCATCCCTCAGCAGCACAGCTGGCCTTACAAGACCTCACTGTATCCAAGGTGAACTATGCACAAACCAATTTGACTGAAACTGTAACTACGCTTGTGAAAGGCTGAAATGAAACTGGTATAGTGCCAGCTTTAGAAACATACTCTGGGAATCTTCACACTTGAGGTTTTTTTTCTAAGTACACTTCAGATTTTATAAGCACACTTTTCAATGTGCAGGTTTCTTTAGCTTTTCTTCCAGCTTTCTGCCAGATCTCAGCTTTGATTCTTAAGAAAAGCTTTTGGTTTTATAGGTATTATGTAAAAGCTGAAGTACTTACCACATTTCTCCCCTCCAGCATGAATATTGTGCTGCAGGTATCAGCAAGACACAATCCACAGACTGACAAGACTTCTCTTGATAACGCCTTTTGGTTCCTCCTTGAGCTAGAGTTTAAACCCTCTCAACATTTACTACATCAATGTTCAGTTTTGTGTTTAGGAAGAGGGAGAAGACTTAGATTTTAATATTGAAGAGATAGTTAAAAAGGCAGTTCTGGAAATGTTGATAAGCTTCTTTTGGAGACATACGTGTCCCTATATGTTTGTTTGGTTTAGTTGTGGGTTGTTTTTTTATTTGTTCAGTGTTGGAGATGGTTGGTCAGTCATATTCCATTCTCATGTGCTTCTTGTAAGATAAAGGCATTACAAAAACTTGCATCTGCTGGTGACATCAGAACTACAACCTGACAATTCTCCAGTAAACCTAAAAGTTACACTCCTACAGGGAAGAGGCAGATTATTTTTTGTAAAGTAGGCATTAATAGGAATATTTCAAAGAAAATTTAGGGTGAAACATCTGCTCCGCAAAGTAGAAGTTCAGATTATATTTCCCCAGCTGAAACCTCTGTCATTTCTGGAACATTCATTCTAAAATTAAAAAAAGTTATTGCTTCTATTGAAGCTCAATATAAGTTAGAAAAAGAATTGCATATTTTCTTATAAACATTCCAAATATACATTTTAAAAACAAAATGCACTCTAAAACAAACGTCTAGTAAAAGACACTGTTTTAAGCAACCTATAGTAACAGCTTTACAAAAGAAAATTGAGGAATGTCGCATATTATTCATAACATGACAATGCTAAAATCCTAAACCACTTAACACTCTTAGTAAGTACTGTTTTAAATATACATATTTCTTTACAAAACAGTTTAGCAATTCCTTATACCACTTACAGTATATAAATATTTGAATAAGAGGTCATAGTGGGAGATGCCAGGGTTTATATTTACTCTCAGATGCTTCTGGTTTCTTAAGTGTTTTACTATAAGGCACAATACTGCTAATCTAAAAGAAAGGCATAAAAGCTAATGGCAAACCCAGCCAAAACTCCTGATGTGGAATATCCAACAGAGGAATTCCAGCATCTCTATGCAAAGGAAACGAAAAAACCAAAACAAAACCCAAACTCTGCAGATCCTAAGAAACTGTTGCAATTTGTATGTAACGAAGTGGGACAGGATGGGAGCAGAAGGAAGAAGGAATTAAGTAAATTCTTATAAATAGACTAATAAATATATTTTAGCCATAATTAGCCCTTTACCTCTGTTCTACTGAGTTTAAGATTGAAAGAGGTAACCAGTGTGCATATACCTAAATAAGTCTACATGCTCAGCACGTGAAGACCACCTAGCACAACGTATTACTGCCAAATTCAGTATAAAAGCTAGCAAGATGGAGAAAGTCTCTTTTTCTCTCAGTATCCAGCCGGAGTAGAACACATTACAAGATCCAATTAGTATTTGTTACATGTAAGGAAAGTTGCAACTAGTAATTTTTTCATCACAAAAAAAAAAAGGATATGCAACATACCCATGAAGTTATTTGATTCCTTCCAAGGTTAGGTTATGTCTTTTCTAAGAATATCCATCTCCAATTACAACAGATCAGAACTTTCAGAGCATTTTAATAGCTGTAGTCTTGTAAGTGTTCTCCATGTGTACATACTGAATGTATATAGTGCATCCAAAATAGTTATCCTTTAGACATTCTGCATTGTTTTCACTGCCTAGTCTTCATCTTTGTTACAGCCCTCTGGAACACAATGACATTGTAACAATGCTTACAGAAAAAGGGTTATTGCATCTTTTTTTAGGATGAGACATCCAGAGGAGATTTTATAAAGTCCTCCTGTGTACAAAATTCTTAGTTATTAGCCCTTTTGGAACACCAGCTAGAAAAGTTTGAAAGGTAAAATAATTTACATTGTTATTTTTTCCATTAACTAGACAAAAGTCCATACTAATTAAATAAAAAATAATAGTTCTTCAACAGTCTATTCAAGATATCTTCCATGAAGCAGTTCAGTGGGAATTTCCATTAGATAGATGTTCTCCGTGTCGGTTATTACTGACATCCACATCTAGAAGCCAAGAATTAGAAGAAAAATTGTTTGTTGATTTACTATTTCAATACATTTTACCTGTTACATTAATCCAAACTCTGGCAATAAATTTCATATTCATATATACCTAAGGTTCTCAAGATTCTCAAGTAATCCTCCTAAGACGTTGTTTGCATCTTCCCCCCCCCTCCCCGGCAAGACCAGCATTCTCCAGCTTGACAGAATTCTCTCAAAATCTACCTGCTTGTATAATAAGTGACACCTCTCAGCCCGGTCCACACTGCAATACCAATAGTACTAACATCACTTAGAGAATGGCTTCTTTCAATGCAATGAATGGCATTATGGATTGTCAAGTGATAAACTAAATTATTACTTACCAAGTAATGCTGTGGTTTCACCTGCGTCCTCTTTTAAACTGGTACACTGCAATACAGATTCATTAGTGGAGGAAGCTGATAATTCGCTTACTTCATTTCTGTCATCATCTTGTAAAGCAATACTCAGACTTCCAACTGAAACACTGCCACTTATTGATTCAGGTATTGGAACTTCAAGTACATCTTCAGGGTCCCCCTTTGAAATGAAATATATTTAACTGACACTTTTGTCTACCATTAGGCATCAACATTTCTCCATGTTACCAATTTGTAACCTCACTTTACTGGAAAAAAACCCATTTTTTTTATGCCTGTTATCTATGCGCTCATGGGTACAGCGTTGAGCAGTGCCTACTTTCAATGTTATTGTCCGGCTGCAAAGAAACAAAGCCAAGCAAAAGAGAAGCCACTTTTTCAAAGCTACCCCAAGGCCAAGAGCAGCAACAGGAGTCGTCAACCCAGCCAGCCTTTTTGAAGGAATGGAATATTTCAACACTTTACAACAATATTGCTACAGTCTGGTTAGGAGCACACTCAGCCCATCCAAAGTCCTCACCAAGCAAACCTATTGATCCCTTATGAGTTTGCAGAAGCTTCTGGTTTTCAGTATAGTAGTTGTGCAAGCTTAGGCTTTTTTTTACTGGGGTGAGCAAACATTCGACATCAGAACAAACTTCCCCCCTCCTCTACCTTCAGCTTAATTTTAAGTCTGTTCCAAAAATGCAAATATGCTGGCTTGTCACTTTGCAGGAACAAAACATCTGCAGCACAGGCAACAGAATTTATTTCACCTATTGTGTAGCATGAGCTATTTCTGATCCATTCTGAAGGTTAATTAGAAGTCCTACATGCACAGTTCTGTTCCTAAAATTAAACAGACTGCCTTCACTAAGCCATTGCCATTAATACACTGACATTATTTATACATAAGTACACTGCAGTACAAGTACCTATTCTGCGGGCTTCACAGTATTTTTCCCCTCCTTAAACAGTTAGCAAAGGCCCATCTTAAGATTTAAGAAATTCTAGGCTGATTCTTTCTTTAGCACCAAAGCAGCATATTTTAAAATGCACTGAATTTTAACAAGCTACAGAACTGCTACAATTGAACACAAGTTAAGATGCATGTGATACTGATCTCTACATGTGTGGGCGGGGGGCATTAATGATTTTGGTTTCCAAAACTTAGGCAGTTAAATAAGCACTGGAACCACAAGATTCAACAATGCTCTACTAAATCAGACATGCTGAACTGCAGCTCTTTTTCTTGTAAGAAGTAGCATAACGCAGAACTGATGTCAGCTCTTTACAAAGGAAAAGCCAGGTAAAAGGACTTAGTGACTTCTTTCTACTTTAAGCCTTTAAAATTTTTGAAGCATCTGAAGTATTTATTTTCCATAAAACTGAACTGAGCCTTCAGCCTCTTTGCAGAAGGTTTAGGAGATTTCTATAATAAAGGCTGCACATTCTTGTCTGCAGTTATGTCACTTAGCAAGCATACTGCTGAAAGAAGCTGCCTTGCTCTTCGCACTTTTTCCCCCTCATATCAGTAAAAAAATTCACACAATCACTCTGCAAACTAGATTGGGCAATCTGGATCAGGTTGAAAACTAAGCTAGGAAAAAAATACTGAATGATTTCCCACATTATTAGCTTTAGTGGGACTTGAATAATTGATGCATAAGCAGAACACATTCCCCCCACTCCATTAGAAAAAAGAACTGGGCTTCTGTATTTCACAGAATCACATTCAATCTGCTTTCCAACATGCATTTTGCCTAACAAGCGGGGGAAGTATTACTCCTCCTGGATAGGTTTGGTATCAGTATCCTCTGCAACAGCATGAATTCAGGGAATAGAAGTGTTCTGAAGGTTCTAGTATTTCTGCTTTCAGCCTGTATACAAAAGGATATATCCTTCTGCATATAACACAAATTACATCAACTCCGAGAATGGGAAGTGAGCGAAAAATAAGGGGCTAACATAACCACATTAAAAGCTATTTCACATAACAAAAAGACTGCAACTCTTGAGTGAAGTCTGACTTAACACACAGAAGCACCACAATCTGGTATGTATATTACATAGCAAGAGTATTGTCGCCTTTGACAAAACAAAAAAGTAGTTCATAAAGGTCTTCCATAGATCTGCTAAGTCTCTGCAAGGAAATAAGAGAAAAGCTAGTCAAAATGCAGACCTAGACTAGGAAAGGAAGGTCCCTGAAACCAAGGCACACACCTATCTTCTGAAGATCTCTGTAGATCAGTATAAAAGAGGTACATTCATGCCTATGGCATTTTAGCGGAACTCAAGACTATTTATCAACAGCGACCGAGTAACCTACCGCACGTGTCTTCATCTCTCTTTTCTGGTGCTGTCAGAAAGAAATGAGAGCACATCATTTTCTCTACTTAACCAATTTCTTGTGAATGTCTTTAGGAAGTACTGGCTCATTTACAGGGATAAAACACTGGGCATATGTGGAAGTAGACAAACACTCAAGATAGAAAAACTATAATTTCTTCCTTTGAATTGCAGTCCTCAACAAGTTCAAATATATGCTCTAGATCTACTGAATTAAGTTATATTTTTGCAGCTTGGGCAAATCGCCTCACCTCTACTTCAACTTCCTTATTGTCATCAGCCAGAGACAGAAAAAATTGGTTATCACAGAAGAGTACAGATAGGATTCATAAGCTGCTTGATACACTGTTTAAGCTCTTACCCATGAAATTCCCTTATTTTTCTGGTTCTCACTCAATTACTCTTGCATCTTTTCCCAGCTTCTTCAGTCTCGTCAAGTAACAACTGTTCTCATTCTGAACAGTTACATGAAGTCTTGCCTCCTGTACTGTACTTCTACCTTGAAGATTAAAGTAAGTGTGGAACATACCCAGTATCCCAAAGCTTTGATAACGTCTAGTTTACACATTGGACAAGTTCGGTGGTCCAAAAGCCAAGGGTCAATGCACGTTCTATGGAAGATGTGCCTAAAGAAAAGAAATGCCCTTTAGAACTTATCACGAAAGCTACATGCTTGTGCTGGTTTTGGCTGGGATAGACTTAATTTTCTTCACAGTAGCTGGTACGGGGTTATGGTTTGAATTTGTGCTGAAAACAGTGTTGATAACACAGGGATGTTTTCATTATCTCTGAACAGTGCTTACACAGAGCCAAGGCCTTTGCTGCTTCTCACCCCACCCCACCAGCAAGTAGGCTGGGGGGTGAACAAGGAGTTGGGAGGGGACACAGCCGGGACAGCTGACCCCAACTGACCAGAGGGATATTCCATACCATATGACGTCATGCTCAGCATATAAAGCTGGGGAAGAAAGAGGAAGCGGGGGGGACGTTCAGAATGATGGCGTTTGTCTTCCCAAGTCACCATTACACATGACGAAGCCCTGCTTTCCTGGAGATGGCCGAATGCCTGCCTGCCCATGGGAAGTGGTGGATTAACTCCTTGTTCTGTTTGGCTGGCACACGCAGCTGTTGCTTTACCCATTAAGCTCTCTTTATCTCAACCCACGAGTTTTCGCCCTTTTACTCTTCCAATTCTCTCCCCCATCCCGCTGGGGGGGGGGGGGGAGTGTGCAAGTAGGTGAGGCTGAGCTGCCAGCTGGGGTTAAACCGCAACAGTGGCATCATGAAAGCCACACACTATTCCTTCAAATGATGTAGAAGTTACTACATTAAACAGTAACTCTGTTCTTTTATAACCTGACAATTAGGTACTACTTAATTTACTAGAACAGACATGTTATGTCTGGAAGCATATGGAATAAGTTCTGGAAGCATCTTCTTTCATGCTAGCTTTCTGAAATAAGACATGCTACTAACCACAAGGACACCACAGAGATACAGTTCAACAGTTCTAACAATACTAAGGAAGCTCTACACCACTCCTACACTTCTCCCAAATACTCCTTTTTCCCCGCATAGATACAAAATGCTACATGGTATCCCGATGCCCTTCAACATGTAAGAGGCCATACAAATGGCACAGCTTCAGCTCTGCTACCAGAGTTTCAGAAGAGTTTCCAGAAAGCTCATTACATATTTCTTAGGGAAAACAAGCTAAAGAGGAAAGAACAATGATGACAACTTACTTGCACGGCAGAATTCGGACAGTGTCTCTCAGTTTATAGTTCTCAATGCACACAGCACAGTTTTCCACATCGACATCTAAACCCTAAAGATGACAACACATTTAAATGCATTATTCCATACTGCAGTCATTAAATACATTAATCCATATTTCATTACAGAACAAACTTTGTGTAACAACTAGCTTAACAGAATGTAAAATTTTCTAATTTAAATAGCTATACATGGTACCTTAAGTAATTTGTTAAGTCTCAAGCATTGGCTTTGCTCATGGGAGTACAGTAAAATTTCAGTTTAAAGTAACTATAAAACAAATTTTAAAAGAGGTCAGCTTAGATGAAAGTGCACATTTTAATTCCTAACTGATGGTCTAAAAGACTTGCAAGTGCTTAAGTAGGATGAGATTCTTGGGGTTCAATATTGCAACCCCCTTGATCCTCACTTTTTTTTTTTGTTTTCCTACCACATCCTAGCAGATATCCCTTGGTAGCTAGAAGAGAACTGAAGTATGCAATTCAGGATGTTTTTTAAAACTTCTTTCCAAGCTCACACCAGAGAGACAGTCAAAACGCATTATTTCCCCACCTCAATTTGTTTCTTTCTAAGGGTTAAATATCTTTCCTAACAGGTCTTACTACCTTCTTGAAGCCATGCTTATAGTTGCAGTGCAAATATGATGGATATCTCCAGATAAAAGAAATAATTCAATGTTAATTGGGTTGTATAAAACATAAATATTAGAAGGACAGTGGGCCAAGTTCTTCCCTTTCATCCCCCACAAAATAAGTATTTTGTGTTTACTGCTTACTGAAGCACTTCAATTTCATTACCACAAATACTCAAATGAATTAGTACCGTAAGCAAACTTTCAAGTTCAAGGCAAGTTTTTCCCTCCTTTGCATGCTATCAGTTTACATAATTAATGCCTTAAATTCCCAAGTAATTCAAGACTTTTTTTTCTTACATAAGCAAAGTTAAGAAAAGTATTTATTCTATAACAATTTTTTATTCTGTACAAGAGACAAAGTCCTAGCACATTGTACATACGCAAATTTGAGTGTCCATTTTACAATAATCCCATAAGCTTCTCAGGAAAGATCTACATGATAGAAAGTACACTTTTAAAACATTGACCTATTTTTAGTCAAATACTTCAACCCTAAGTGAAATCATAATGAAAGATTGTACTGTGTCACAACAAAAGAAATATACTCTTTTAATCATAATGGCTGAAAGGAAATATTTAAAGAAAAAAAGGCACATTTACAGAGTAGATGGGACTGTATTTCCAGCTAAATTTACATTAGTTCATGAAAGTACCTCTGCATCATTAAGTTACATAAATTAGCTGATAGAAGACTGATTCAAATCAAATTAGAAGACATTGTTTACCAAGCAGAAAACCTCTATTTAAATAGATTTTAATCTAATCTCATTCTACTTTCCTTAACTAACATGGCATTCATAGTTACAACCAGCATACTAAAAAACAACTTAGTTAAATTCCCCCATTTTATTTTAGTCAAGGGTATATTGATGGGAAGGAACTACCTGCTACACTGCAAAAAATCTTCACAATACAAATCCTTTTTAGAGGTTTACTGAACATCAACTTAAAAGCAGTTAACAGTTTCCTTGTGGTTCCCGCCATAGGTTTCATCATGACCCTTTTACATCCATTTCTTTCTATGCTGATATTCTGCTTTGATACTGCTTTATACAAGTTTTGGTTCAATTCCATCTTTCTTGATCTCTGATCTCACCATTGTATGAACAGTAGCACAAACACCTCTCTGTTCACAGCTTGAAATAGATTACTTTTTGATGGAATTTAGAACATAATTAAAAGTAACAAATACTTGTAAAATGCTACTTAAAAATGCTGAATGCGTACAAGGAAAAGAGGCAATTTCAAAGACAGCTGGGTGTTTTTCACTTCAACACTGATTTACTAAATGAAGGACACATTCTCTGTAGCATGTGGCCTGAGCTGAACAGCTTGATGCACCATAGCTTTTAAAGTTCTTACACATAAATGTCCTTTCTCACCTTCATTTTATTCATGGATTTAAAAACTAATCCTTGTTTTTCATCTCTGAGCAAATCAGTCCTTAAGTAAAAACTAATCAAATACGACAAACAAGGGCAGGGAAAAATGTCTGTGTAGTAGCAGAAGTCTAGTCATAAACTAATTGACCATCTAGGATCAGAGCTGCCTGCAACTCTGACTAAAATAGTATTTTCTTTCAAAGACTTGCCTTTTTCTACTTCAGTTATTCTAATACAGCTATGACTTCAGGCTCCATGCTGTCAAAGCTAACTTTTTGAAAGTTGTTTTAATTTTTAGAATAGATTTAATACATAGAAATGTACATCTAAAAAATTTATGCTTCAAGTAAATCTATACAGCTCCTTAATGTATTGTATGTCAAAAGATGAAACAAGTGTTTCATTTTTTAAAGCTTTTTAGATTTCTAAGACCTTCTGATCAATAAAAAGATGGATGTACTTTTAAGAAAACAAAGCATTACATCAGCTCTAAGAACTGTGCAATCAATAGGTCCTAGGAAGTATTTTGCAATCCACTTGTTGCTGTTTTCAAGTGCTGGTAAGGTATTAGTGCTTCCTCATCTTTACAGTATCAGCCCTGTAGTCTCCCACAACATTCTGTATGACCAGATATTATTTACAACAAAACAGCCTTACATTTCATAAGTAGTTCAAATCTGACTCTTCATTTTTAAGCTTGGCCTTCTAAGCAAAGGTGCTAAAATGAGCCTAAAATTCTACAAGTCAAATTGCAATTACAATGTGAGAATTTTAGTTTAAATTCTATACAGACATCACAACAGTTTTTAAACCATACAGCAATAACCAGAGCCACTGAATTACCTTTTCTCCACGTTTTACAGTATGCAGCTGAAGCTGGCTGATTGCTTTCTTGGTTTCTTTTCTATGTCCCTTGAATAAAGATTTTAAATATTAGTACACAAGTTAGTTTTAAAAGTTACATTTCAAAGCTTTTTAATACTTTCCATGTGGATTACTAAATCTTCTGAATGCATTTAAAGATTCATCTCTGGCTAGCTAATTTGTTTACAAAATACTTCCAGCCAGCAGAAGTTGAAGAACTGCAAGTTTTGCATTCTCAGGGCACACCAGCAAAAATTATCTATAAGCATCATGCTCTTACAATGAACTCGACCAGTGCAGAACTATGCAGACGAAGTTGACATACACAGCCTCGTATCATGACTGCCTGCCTGCATCAAGGGCCTTCCCGCACAGGAAAATTGACATTAATTTAGGCTTTGGAGGTATCAGAGCTGAAACCACAGCCATATAACCAGACCTTCTAGTTAGGTGAGCCCATGAGCAAGCATGTCATAGGTTTTGCACAAGCTTGAGAGAAGGCAGAATCCTGCCGGGCAGCCAACAGCTGGCTACTAGGTCAAAAGGCTGCTGCAGCTATTAATGCTTCCCCTCAGTTAAACACTGCCTCACACATTATACAAACAAAGCTTTGCACTGAAAGGGCACATTATGCAAAGGAGACGACAAGAAAGGCTTAACAGACATAAGACACCATCTTGGACTTCTATACAGTAACAGTCCTGATTATGCTTGGAGGGAGGCAAGAAAAGAAAGCAGTACTGTATTCCAAGACAAAGTGCTAGCTACTGCTAGAAATTGAGAAATTAAACACTCTCAATTAACATATGTTGATCTGTCTAGCAGTGACCCTTGCTGATGAAATACCGTAAAGGAATAAAAAAACCCGTAATGGCAGCTTTTCTCTGTAATGATAATTACAATGACTTATATAATTTTACAAACTTGTAGTATTGAAAATTGGGATTTTTTTTTTTATAGTGTTAAAAAGAATTAGTCTGAAAGTTCTTTCAGAAATGGACAGACAACCAGCAGCAGTCTATTCTACCTTCTGTATCACCTCAGGGTTTTCTGCACAGTCCTGTTTCATCTTCAGTAGCAAGGAGGTCTTCCAAAGATTTACTGCTAAACTGATGTTAGAATAAATCTTCAGAAACCAGTTTTCACCTTCACTTAGCAGCTACACAGTAACTTGCTTTAACGCATGGTATGCTTAAATCCCAAGTTTTAATTATACTGGAGTCAATAAGCCAAGCAAAATAACATTTGGGTTAGAAAAGTGGCTTTTTGTTTCCAAAATTATTTTAAGACTTCTAATGACGTATCTTGACCAAGATATTCACAACATTTTCAAACTTTGCATAGTTTTATATTTTTCTGTTTTCAATGGCCATTTTAAAAGGAGGAGAATCAAGGAGCAGTGGCATAACCTTCTAACACTACACAATTTAATTTAGGAAGCATCTAGATGACAAGCCCAATGGCAAAATCTATTAAGAGTTTGTGGTACATATTTCTGGGAAACATCACATTCAGCCTAAAAAAAATGCTCTTAAAACCACTTATAAAGCATTTGAACTTCTTTTAGCATGAACTATCTGCCCTGATTTTTGGCTGGGATTAAGTTAATTTTCACAAGAAGCTGGGAGGGGACACAGCCAGGACAGCTGACCCAAACTTGCCAAAGCAATAGTCCATACCATATGGCATCATGCTTAGTATATAAAGAGGGCTGGCCAGGGAGGAGGGGTCACAGCTGGGGGACAAGCTGGGCATTGGGGCTCGGGTGGTGAGCAAATTGCATTGTGTATTAGCTGCTTTGTATAGTCTTTTGTAAGTGGTGGTGGTGTTATTTTCCTCTCCCTTTGTTGTCCTAGAAACTGTCCTTATCCCAACCCATGAGTTTTATCTTTTTCTTCCGATTCTTGTCCCCATCCCACCAGGGGAGGAGTGAGCAAGCAGCAGCTGCTGACTGGGGCTAAACCACAATGGTCCTTTTTGGTGCCCAACAGGTGGCACGAAGGGTTGAGATGACGACAGGTCTGACCAGAGCATATTAAAACAAAGTCATTATATACATTTATTATATTATTTAAACAGTCACTGGTCACAATGGTGTTTTGTTTGTTCACATGGCTGTGGTACGTAAATCCTTACTCGCTCTATGTAATCCCTGCAGCACTGTTTATCACCTCTGGGAGAGGGGTCAGGATTCTCATTTTGCTGTACCATGTGACATCAACTTATAAGAACATCACTGGTCATGAGCTCTAAGCTGGTATTTGTATATGGCATTGCTCTCATGCCCATAGCTCAGATGGCACCTCTTGGAATTCATTAATAATTACACCCCATCTACAGGGAAGATGGAGGATAATTTCTCCCACTCTTTTACCTCCCCTTTTTCCTTCAGGCTGGTTACAGCAGCTTTTGAGGATTTTGAATACCCTTGGGACATTCAAGCCAGTATGCTCCTATTGCTATGTCTCCTGAATGTGTTCCAGGCCTTGTTTAGGGTTACAAAAACTTGTTTTAAGAATACCACCCAGGAATCTGCCCCGAGGCTGCACAATCATGGGTGGCATGGCATGTGGGAGAATATAGGCAGGTATCTAGAGAACTTCTCACTCCAATGGTTTGGAACTTCACTCTTGAACAACTACAAGACCCTGATAAAGTGGTAGGATGTTTGAAAGGAAAATGCTGAAGCTATTCCAAAGAGGCATAACTTACTGCACTGTGCTGGGCCCTGGCCAGTATCTACCAAACACTGCTCGATAGTAGGCAGCGCCCTCAGAGGAAAGAGGGAAAACAGACCAACAGGCACTGTGGCTGAACAAAAAACCAAAACACCCACAAAACACCCCACCCACCCATGCCCATATCAGTCATCCCTACACAGAAGAACTAGACAAAAAAAATCAGATCGCTTAGTAAGCGATGACAATAAACCTGGACCACAAGAAGAACAGGAGGAAGAGGCAGAATCAGAGGTAATCACCTGGTCCCTGTCCCCGAGTGAGCTGCACGATATCAGAAAATATTTCAGCCACCATCCAGGTGAGCACATCATTACCTGGCTGCTCCGATGCTGGGATAATGGGGTCAGTAGCCTGGAATTAGAGGGAAGGGAGGCCAAGCAGTTGGAATCCCTGTCTAGGAAAGGGGGCATTGACAAGGTAATTGGTAAGAAGACACAAGCCCTCAACCTCTGGAGGCAACTCTTATCAGGCATGAGGGAAAGGTATCCCTTCAGTGAAGATGTTGCGTGCCATCGAGGCAAGTGGACCACCATAGAGAGAGGTGTTGAGTACCTTAGGGAATTAGCAGTGCAGGAGACGGTTTATATGACCTGGAAAACACGCAGTTACCCACAGATCCTGATGAAGTCCAATGTACCCAACCCATGTGGCAGAAGTTTGTACAGAGCCCACCATCGTCATACACCAACGCATTGGCAGTAATGGACTGGAAAGGTGAAGAGGCATCAACAGTGGATGAAGTAGCTGGCTGACTCGGGCAATACAAAGAAAGTGTCTCTTCCTCCCTTATCTCAGCTATGGAGAAACTGTCCCAGAAGGTCCAGCAACTTGAAGAGAATATGTCCTACTCCCCACCTGTACAGACCAGTATCTCAGCTATTAGGAGTAAGCATTCCTCGTAATGGACTGGAAAGGTGAAGAGGCATCAACAGTGGATGAAGTAGCTGGCTGACTCGGGCAATACAAAGAAAGTGTCTCTTCCTCCCTTATCTCAGCTATGGAGAAACTGTCCCAGAAGGTCCAGCAACTTGAAGAGAATATGTCCTACTCCCCACCTGTACAGACCAGTATCTCAGCTATTAGGAGTAAGCATTCCTCTGCTCAAGAGATGATATAGAGGGTACACACCACAAGGCACACTGTGCTTTTTCCTGCGTGACCTCAGAGAGGACACGAGGAAGTGGGATGGAAAACCTACCTCAACCTTAGAGGCACAAATACATGAGTTGCAAGGAAAAACAATCACAAAAGGGGATTCTTCTAAGAAAAATGCCACTTCAGTTTCCAGTGGGTAGCCCCCCAGACCTAGTGGAAGGCCTGATCATACTTCTGATCCTCTTGAAGGGACTTCTAAGTCATTTTTACAAGAAGTGAATAATGAATATGATGACCAGGACAAGAGGGGCCCTGCCTCCAGCCAGGTGGAGCAGAGGGACAACCACGTTTATTGGACTGTGTGGATCTGATGGCCTGGCACATCAGACCCACAGGAGTATAAGGCTCTAGTGGACACCAGTGCACAGTGTACCCTTATGATATCCAGCTATGAAGGGACAGAGCTCATCTGTATTTCTGGAGTGACAGGGGGATGCCAACAGCTAACTGTACTGGAGACTGAAGTGAGTCTAACTGGGAATGAGTGGCAGAAGCACCCCATTGTGACCAGTCCAGAGGCTCCCTGCATCCTTGGCATAGACTGCCTCCAGAGAAGGTATTTCAAGGACCCAAAAGGGTACTGGCGGGCTTTTGGCGTAGCTGCCTTGGAGCCAGAGGAAATGAAACAGCTGTCTACCTTGCCTGGTCTCTCGGGGGACCCTTCCCTTGTGAGGTTGCTAAGGGTCAAAGAATTACAGGTGCCAATCACTACCACAACAGTGCACTGACAGCAACATCACACCAACTGAGACTCCCTGGTTCCCGTCCATAAGCTGACTTGTCAACTGGAGAGCCGGGGAGTGATCACTAGAACTCACTCACCTTTTAACAGTCCCATATGGCCAGTGCAGAAGTCCAATGGAGAGTGGAGGCTGACAGTAGACTGTCCTGGCCTGAATGAAGTCACATCACCAATGAGTGCTGCCATGTCAGACACACCAAAACTTCAATATGAACTGGAGTCAAAGGCAGCCAAGTGGTACGCCACAATTGATATCGCTAATGTGTTTTTCTCAATCCCTTTGGTGGGAGAGTGCAGACCACAGTTTGCTTTCACTTGGAGGAGCTTCCAGCACCCTGGAATCGACTGCCCCAGGGGTGGAAATACAGCTCCGCCATTTGCCATGGACTGATCCAGACTGCACTGGAATGGGGTGATGCTGCAATACATTGACAACATCATCATATGGGGCAATACAACAGAAGTTTCTGAGAAAGGGAAGAAAATAGTTCAAATTATTCTGAAAGCCAGTTTCACCATAAAGCCTACCTGGGCTGCTGATACTGCTGCCCAGCTAGAGAAGCTGGTTGTAAAAGTACATCATGTAGATGCCCATGTACCCAAGAGTTGAGCCACTGAGGAACTTCAAGAGAACTAGCAGGTGGATCAGGCTGCTAAGACTGAATGGGCTCAGGTGAATCTGGACCAGCAACATAAGGGTGAATTATTTATAGCTTGGTGGGCCCATGACACCTCAGGCCATCAAGGAAGAGATGCAACATATAGATGGGCTTGTGATCAAGGGGTGGACTTGACCATGGACACTATTGCACAGGTGATCCATGAATGTGAAACGTGCTGCAATCAAGCAAGCCAAGCGGTTAAAGTCTTCCTGGTATGGAGGACAATGGCTGAAATAGAAATATGGGGAGGCCTAGCAGACTGATTACATCACACTCCCACAAACCCACCAAGGCAAGCACTATGTGCTTACAATGGTCGAAACAACCACTGAATGGCTGGAAACACATCCTGTGCCCCATGCCACTGGCCAGAACAATATGCTGGGCCTTGAAAAGTAAGTCCTGTAGTGACATGGCACCCCAGAAAGAACTGAGTCAGAAAACAAGACTCATTTCCAAAATACCCTCATAGACACCTGGGCCAAAGAGTCACCTGGGCATTGAGTGGGTGTATCACATCCCCTGTCATGCACCAGTCTCTGGGAAAATCAAATGATACTATGGGCTGCTAAAGACTACACTGAGAGCAACGGGTGGTGGGACCTTCAAACATCGGGATACACATTTAGCTAAGGCCACCTGGTCAGTCAACACTAGGGGGTCTGCCAAGCAAGCTGGCTCTGCCCAGTCAAAACTTCCATGCACTGTAGAAGGGGATAAAGTCCCTGTACTGCACATGAAAAATATGTAGGGGAAGACAGTCTGGGTTATCCCCGCTTCAGGCAAAGGCAAACCTATCCATGGGATTGCTTTTGCTCAAGGACCTGGCTGCACTTGGTGGGTGATGCACAAGGACGGGGAAGTCTGATGCGTACTTGATTTGATTTAGGGTGAGAAGGGGATTTGATCTTAGGTGAGAATAGCCAATAAATTATATTATATTAATTGCTAAATATCCCTGCCATTTTATGTCATCACTACTACAATTGCTATAGGCTGAATCAATGGTATTGAAGTAAAAATCACCCAAATTAATGAAGGATTAACTTTATGAAACCCAGCAAAGTGCAGCGATGATGGAACTTGAACTGGCTTCAGCAACTGGCACCCAGCACTTCCTCAAGATGAACATCTTCAACGCACAGACTTCGGGCACGGACCATGCCAGACACACCAGCCACAAGTTCCAAATGCAGCATGCAACAATCCAACAGCGCACACCATCTCTCCTGCCCTGAAAGACTGTTATGACAGATGGAGCCCAAAGTTGTGGACTAACTCAACTCAAGAGACATTTTAGAGGGACAGCCTACAGACTAAGGGAATGATATCTCTGTATCTATCTATACGTATCAAAAACAGGAAGAGTGGTGGTGATTAATTGTAAAGTGTAGGATCTGGGCATGACGTAGATGGCATAGAATAAGGGGTGGATAATATCCTCGTTTTCAGCTGGGATAGAGTTAGCTTTCATAAGAAGCTGGGAGGGGACACAGCCAGGACAGCTGACCCCAACTAGCCAAAGGGATATTCCATACCATATGACTTTATGCTCAGTATATAAAGGGAGCTGGCCAGGGACAAGGGGTCACTGCTGCAGGACAAACTAAGCATTGGGCTCCAGGTAGTGAACAAATTACATTGTGTATCACCCACTTTGTATAATCTTTTATAAGTATTGTTGGTTTTATTTTCCTTGTCCTTTGCTGTCCCAGTAAACTGTCCTTATCCCAACCCATGAGTTTTACCTTTTTCTTCCAATTCTCCTCCTTATCCCACCAGGGATGGGGGCAGGGGGATAACAAGTGAGCAAGTGGCCACGTGCTAGCTGGGTCTAAACCACAACACTACACTAAAGCCAAGATAACAGGAAGAAGCAGCTTTCTTCATCAAACAACTGTTACAACAACAAAAACACACCCTTTTTTCTATAAATACTTCTCAAAAATTCTGTTTTCTTGAAAGTATTCTCAGAATGTAAGTTCTAAGACTTAAAGCTTAGTAAAAAAGACTCTAGGGAACCAACATTTCAAGTAGACTACAAGTTTAACCAATAGAGAAGTCCCATGTGTTATCCTCAATTACCAAAAAGATAAATTATTTTCCTAGAAGAATCCTGCAAGTCATAATCAGAGTTCAGACTCCTGAAGACAAAAATTCCCTTCCTTCCTCCCCCAAAGCCAGAATCTACAGGTTCAAACAGAAGGCAGGGGACGTTCACATGATAAGCAGTCTTTTGAAACTGTTTTTTTTTTTGTTCTGAACTAAGGATTAAAAGACCCACAGAGAACTGCTTGCAAAGAAAAACAAGTACAACTTTCTTTTTCACTCTTAGTAGAGAACTGTGGTAGAACTGCTGATGACCTTGGAAGGAACCTAACATATCTGCAAGAGCTGAAAAGCACAAGAAAGTGCCATCCAAAGATATTTTGAAAACTCAGCTGGACTACAACCTCAACAACTCCATGTAAGTTGCTCTCCTGAGTGTGGAGGTTTAAACCAGATAGCCTCCAGAGGTCCCTTCCAACCCAAATTATTCTATGAGGAAGTACTTCCCTCAGGGAAAAAAAAAGAAAGCTCACTTTTTTTTTTTTAACCTTTCAAAGAAAAACAAGGATTTGGAAGGGGCTAATTAAGGAGCAAAATTATTCCTTCCTGACCTTCCCAGTACTCCCACCGGTCTCAGTGCTTCAGATAGTCCAAGAGCTGAATCTCACCACACATGCTCCTTCTATTCTGGTGCCATTCTGGTCTCCACTCTACAGTGGAGTAGTACGACTACAAGTATCAAAAGAAGTTTTCATAAAGCTTTAGAACCAAAATTTTAGCCCTAATTACTTGTGGGTCTTAAGAAAAAAAAAATTACCATGGTCCCTCTACATTAGAAAAAAAAATCTAATTAGGGAAATTAGTACTTTCAGAATGAAAATTACCAAAAAATGAAAATAATTTCTCATGTCAAAAGGAAGTTAAGTTTAAGTGAGGTGACAAATTACACAAGAAGCTGCCTTTACTCAGTGGTTCACAAGTGGCTACATGTATTTTTCACAACTTCATACAGGCATCTAATAATTACAACTAGCCAAACCTGCAATGCCAATTCACACACTTATTAGCCTCACTAACCATTACTGAGTAGCATTCACAGATACTAAAGCAGCAAAAAGGCACAGATCTTCAAGAATGCTTCAATAAGCAAGCAAAGTTAGGCAACAGATTTGACATGAGAAGATGGTAAATAATCTAAAGCATCATCATCTCCAATTACCTGGTTTCCAAACTGTGATCCTGTGTACAGGAAACGTTGTATATAGTAAAATATAAGCCAAGCAAGTGATATAATCATCATGGTGATGAAGGCGATGGCTACAAACACAACCGACTGACCACTAATATATTCCTGAACATGTCGCGTGCCAACAACAATAGTCATTTTTACTGGAATCCCTCTTCGTACTGGCTCCAATATCTCTATTCCTTTTGGATAGCCAACCATTATCACCACTGTATTTCCTGTTCCTGTTGGAGGGGGAAAAAGAAAAAAAAAAGTCAGTCATCACAGTGAAAATTTCAGCATTCTGGCTTGATGTTAGTTTGGGCCTCTTCAGTTAAGAGCAGTGAGCAAAGTTACAGCAAAACCTCTGAGGTTTTCTCAGGAACAGCAGACTTGATATCAAGTTTACTAGTAAAGAACCCTTTATTTACTTTATGAAACTCACAATAAAGTTCAACAGATGCATCTTTACTGTTCAAGATCCTATGCTACTCATTCCACATAGTGAGGTGGGATGTGGATGCCATGCAAAAAAACCAGGCAAGTTATACATATCTCA